AGAATTATGAGTGAATGATCGCAAAGATGTATTAGATCTTTACTTAATTTCTTATATAATCGATTTAGATAACTCATTCTTTGTTTGAAAGTTAGTGATTATCATACTACGTTGTTTAGATTCACTAAAAATCGAGAAATAAACAAACTTTTTAATAAAAAAACAAAACCGACTTCCAAACTAAATACACTAAAAACAAAATATTCTCAAAAAAAAACAGTACACTAAAAAGTAACGAAATAATTCCTTGAAAATAGTAAACCTACCTTATTGTAACTGTTACGTCTATATTGTACAATTATTATTACTTTGAAGTCGGTGTCAGTCAATGTAGATTCATTACTTAATCGTTACTATACTTTCAACTGTCAATTGTTATGGTAAAAATGTGGAAACCCTTACGTAGAAATATCACTGCATACCTCGGCTGACACCGACATCAAAGTACTCGTAATAATAATTGTACAATATAGACATAACAGTTACAATAAGGTAGGTTTACTATTTTCAAGGAATTATTTCGTTACTTTTTAGTGTACTGTTTTTTTTTTGAGAATATTTTGTTTTTAGTGTATTTTGTTTGGAAGTCAGTTTTGTTTTTTTATTAAAAAGTTTTTTTGAACCTATTACCAAAAGTATTAACTACCTAGTAGTAATCTACGTAATAACAGAAATCTACCGATGCAAGATTCCAAATTTCTAAGCCCGGTAGCTTGTAAGCCGATTTTTCGGTTACCCTTATTATTTGTGTTCGCGGTATCTTCTAAACTATTAGTCCAACTTAAATACTGTAAAGGACAATTTTATTATACATTAAATTTTCCTGATAACAAACGCATTTATTTGGATAAGGATTAATATTGAAACTAATAAAAGAACGCTGCAAATAGCGTAAGGTTTTTAATTCATTTTGTAAATAAAAAAGTGGTTATTGTAAGAGAACCGTTAAAGATAGATGTATGCTATCGCGGACTTTTTTGTAGAACTTTTTGAGATCTACAATTCTTTGATACACTTTTTTAAATACCTCTAACGGTTTAGGCAGCGTAAGCCGAGAAAAGTTAAAGTTTAGTAATTTTTTGACGCCGGCATCCAGAAACACGTTGTTTATTAATAGTTCCTAAACATTAGTAATAACAAAATATAGCCTATGTTACTTACAGATAAATTACCTTTCTGATGGTAAAAGAATTTTTAAAATCGGTCCAGTGGTTTTTGAATAATTTCAATACATACAAAAATACAAAAAGACAAAAATACAAAGTTTTCCTCTTTATAATATTAGTATAGATTAAGAAAATTCTAGAAAACAGGAGTGTGAGAGTCGAAAAATCTAAGATAGAAAACTCTGAGCTGCCAGCCCTGTACCTAACTATCTGGTGACGTCATATGATTATTCCCAACCATCACCCCGCTCTGTCCCCATGTGAGAGTAAAAATTTTTCTCCGTCCCACTTTTTAGTCCTCCTACCACCAGGGAAAAGACTTTCTGATCGCTCCACTAACAGAACTATTTAACAAAATCTTGACAACCAAAACAATACCGAAACAATGGACAAATTCTGAAATAATACTGCTCTTCAAGAAAGGTAGGTGAGAGCGTCGGTGGCTCAGTGGAGAGCGTCGGTGGCTCAGTGGTTTGAATACTTGACTTGTAATCTACAGGTCTTGGGTTCGAATCCCGCCGCCATGTACCAATGTGATTTTCGATTTTTCGAATTTTCATATGTACATAATTTACCCGACGTTCTTACGGTGAAGGAAAACATCGTGATGCAACCTGCACATATCGGCGAAGAAATTCAAAGCTATGTGTGAAGTCAACCAACCCGCACTTGGCCAGCGTGGTTGACTATGGCCTAGTCACCCCTTATTAGGGTAGGCTTCGAGCCCCTCGGTGGGGACGTATAGTGAGCTGGTGATGATGACTGCTCTTCAAGAAAGGTGATCCAAAATTAATATCAAACTATAGACCTATTAGTCTAATGTCATGCTTGTACAAAGTTTTCTCAGCAACTCTGTTAAGACGAATATCTAAATTGATTGACGATAACTAACCAGTCGAACAAGCAGGCTTTAGAAGTGGATTTTCGACAGTGGATCACATTCACACTCTTAAGATCATTATAGAAAAATATACAGAATATAATAAACCTCTCTATATTGGCTTTATTGACTACGAGCTGTTGCCCGCGACTTCGTCCGCGTGGTATTAGAAAACATAAGAACTATATAAATAACAAAAAGCTACGTATCCCTCGGGAACCGGACATTTCTCGGGGATGAACCTTATCCCATGTGTACTCCAGACTTTGTTTATTATCTGTGCCAAATTTTAATATGATATGTTGAACCGTTGCTGAATGATCGAGTAAACATTAAAAAACTAAATTAATAAATCCCACGGGAACCGTAACTATTCCCGAGATAAAAAGTAGCCTATGTGTTCTTCCAGACTATGCCCTAAACCTGTGCCAAATTTCATGGAGATCCGTACAGCCGTTTAGGCTACAAACGCTAACAAACATGCATCTATCTATCCATCCATCCATCTAAACTTGTCGCAAAAGGTGGAACGGATGAAACTTTTTATTCTCATCTGTCTCCACGTGGGGACAGAGCGGGGTGACAGTTGGGTATAATAAACATCATGAACGTTAACAACTACTGTAAATGAAGAAAATCGACAAACATATGACATTACTCTAAGAAGTGCATGAAATGACAGAGCCACTAGTGGTTTAGATTTACCGGCGCCCTGATGAAAAATTGCTTCAAGGGGCGCCTTTTTGTGGCGCCCTATATGTCGCCTGCGGCGCCCCTTTAACTCCGGCGCCCTAATTGGTCGCCCTAACCGTACGTGAGGCTTAAGATCTTTCGTTTTTTTTCCATCAACCATTGCAACAATAATGACAATCTATGTCTATAAAATATAGTACTTACTACATTGGTTTATACTTCCTTTATCTAATGTTAGTTAAATTGGAAACTTTCATAACAATTTCAATACAATAACAACATTTATTTATATGATTGATAATTCTTAAATATTAAATATGTTTTTTCCTGCGTTAATACCCAAAGATAACGCTCATGTGTTTGTATTTGTGTGTATTTAAATGCCAGATGTAAGCAGTTTTCCTGTTGTGAATTAACTCAGTGTGCGCGTCCGCGTCGACCTAAGACGACGTTTCGCGCCTACTGTTTTATTTTTTATTCTGTGACAGCTGTCAAAGAAAAATGAGGTAAGTTTTTTTAATGGCTGTATCTTTGTGTGCCAGTGTTGAGTGGTTTTGTTTTATTTTGTTATGATTGAAATAAATAAGTTTATAGTATATATAGTATTAAGAAAGAGTTATCATTTTAATTAATATTTACATTTCATACTTTACGATTTTATAATTAATATCTTCATGATAATTTCGTCAGGATAATTGAGGGTAATTAGCCTCTATTTTTTCGCCACTTTAATATCTAGCAACCCCGGTTCTAGGCAGGAAAAAGATAGGCAACTTTATTTAGTTGCATGCTACCCATTGGTTACAAAATTTTCTGGAAACTCATGAGGGTTAAGGGCTCCAAAAATTGTCCACTTTGGAGTTCTGAACTGAAATGTTCAGTTTCTTGTTTATGGTACTCCCTTAGCGGATTGGGCCAGTGTCGAGTGTTTTCGTTTTATTCTTGTGTAGGAGATACTGGCAACAATACTTTATACCACTTCAGAGACCAATTAAATATAGCTTTGCCAGGCTAGGATAGGTAACCCAGTTATAACACGTTTAAAAACATTGTGAAATTTCATATAATGGAATAAATCAGGAAATCTGATGAGGGTAGGTTATCATTGACGCATCTCTTACGAGTTTTATATTTCTGACGTAGACGAGGTCTAAAGCTAGAATTCAATACTTCTTAAAGATATTTGATAACTTACTGACCTTACTTTTTTATCTAAATGTCAACTTCAAGTGGAAGCATAATTAAAAGTAATTATATTTATCTTAATGTTAATATTTACATGTATGTATGGATAGATGTATCATGTCAATAACTTCAAAACGGACAAATGGCTCTGACACAACGTATAAGGCGATATTAGTATCATCATCACCTCCCTTGCCCTATCCTACTCCCGTAGGGTCGGCGCACCGGGTTTTCGTGCTCCAAAGCACTCTATCATCCGTCATCTCAGTCATCACTCCCTTCTTGATCATGCCACCTTTCACGCAATCCATCCATCTCTTTCTAGTCTCGCTTTGATCCCTATAATCTTACATGGAGGTGTACTACTCGATTTTTAGTTGTGCAACTAAACAATTGAAGGTTGGGAAACAATCGACAATCAAACAGTTGATACAATCAAAGATGTGCTATTTGTGACTTCTAATCAGTGATATTTTTGGCAGATTGGTATTGTTCTTCGTGGGACTAGTGTCGTCCCTCTGCGTGGCTGCAGGCCAGTCTAGCGACGATCTTGCGGCGGCTTTGGTGCAGAACGCAGGTGGAGATGCCGGCGATGGCGACTTAAATCTCGATCCAGTTGTGGTTGAAACAAAAAGTGAGTATATATGTCCGGGAAAGATTTGTACAATGAGACTTACCGATATACAGAATACGACGTTGCTTCGTTTGGGCGCTAGAGAGCTTTAAAGTTAGTTCTGTTTCAAATTTATTCAAATACTAGCTGTTCCCGTGCGGCTTCATCCGCACGAAATTATGAAAATTTTATTTTATTGTTTACATTTGTCAAATTGTCAACAGCAAATGTCAAAATGACATGACACGTCAAACCTTAGCAATCTTGCTTTCTTGATGTTGGCAGCATCTTATGGTCTCTTTCCCACATTAGGGTTTTTATCCAAAATATTTACCACCTAAGTTTAATGGCGTGAAAATATATATCCTAAAGCGTGACATAATAGGGCTTTTTATTAAAAAAGAATTATTCAAAAATATGCTGTAATTGCTGACATCTTAGGCAACAAAGAAGTGTGTGTTTACGCTTTATTATAATAGTATAGAAGTATAGAAGTATAGATATAAAAACGTTTTATAAATCTTAATAACTTTGAAATCATGGTTTGCCAAATTTCATGAAGATCCGTTCAGCCGTTTAGGCTACAAACGCTAACAAACATCCATCCATCCATCCATCTAAACTTTCGCATTTATAATATTAGTAAGATTATAGTAAGATTTGATTTTATTTTTAGTTGAGAGCTGCACAACCATGGATGGACTATCGGGCATCTGTGTTAAGTACTACCAATGCGATCAGGAATCAAAGACTGTTATTGAAGATGGATATACTATAATAGACGTCAGGTATGTAAGAAATTACATAAACTATTCTAAAGAAAACATTATATAATCGTTGCAGAAGGTAGCCAGATTAGCGTATGCAGGGACGCCGTCCCTGAACGGATTTTAAGCTGACTCCTTCGATCACGTAACTTATATTTAATAGGGCATTCAGCCGTACTAATCATCATGACCAGCTCACTATACCTCCCCACAGAGGGGCTTGGAGCCTACCGTAAGTTAGGGTGACTAGGCCATAGTCAATCACGCTGCACTGCGGGTTGGTTGACTTCACACATATCTTTGAACTTCTTCGCCGATAGTGCAGGCATCACGATGTTTTCCTTCTCCGAAAGAACGTCGGGTAAATTATGTACATATGAAAATTCGAAAAATCACATCGGTACATGGGGGGATTCGAACATAAGACATGTAGATTACAAGTCATGTGCTTAAACGACTGATCCTCCAAAGCTCTCCGTACTAATTATACACAAAAATTTAAAAAAGAAGAAATCACGTAAAACAAACATTTTTCTAAGCAATTCTTTTATTACAGAAGTGGATCTTGTGCGAAGTTCTTGGAAGTTTGTTGTGGACGTAACAAAGTTAATAATAAAACTAGAAAAGAAAGCACTACTCCAGCTCCCGCTGTCTTGTCAGATGATAACACAGAAAGCACCCCAAGGCTAGACTCTCTGGATACGGAAACAAGTGTAATAGGAAGATGTGGTGTTAGTAATCCCGGAGCCGCTATATTCACAGACGTTAGAATCGATGATAATACACCTGTTCCGATTGATGATAGGAAAAATGCTGATTTTGGCGAATATCCATGGATGGTTGCCATACTTAGGTAATTACAACAGTTTGCACTTGCGCATAGATAATCATTTTTTTTATAATATAAGCTGGCATATGAGTTTGAAAGTAGCGCCAGTGGTGGAGAAATTGAGAAGCAAAAGGTTAGCGTGGTATGGACATAAACTAGAAAGTGTTAAGATTGAATGTGGATGGCTACAAAGGTAGAAGACCGAAGTAAGTATGGATGGATTGTGTGAAAGAGGATTTGCTTAAGAAAGGAGTGTACTCAGATATGACGGCTGATAGAGATGTATGGAAGAGCAGCACATACTGTGCCGACCCTCCGTAAGGGATAAAGGCAAGTGGATGATGATGAATCTGGCATATGAGTAGCCACTTGAATCCGCCAAAATAGAGAAGCAACCGCTGCCCATACGCGTTGCCTACCCTTAATTGACGGAGAGGAGACACATAAAGGGAACATTTCCCCTGCACCGTCAAATCTACTAGCCATATCCATTCTTTCCTTATAAGAAAAGTGTGGGAAGGGTAAATTAGGCCTCCGACACACTCATCAGTCAAAACGCGTTTTAATAACTTAAGCGTTGATTACAAAAATGTTTCAAGTAAAGTGTAAACTCTTTCTATGTAAATAACTGGGAATGTTCGAAATAAACTAAAGTTAAAAATAACCTTTACTATTTTATCAAACAGACGCTATGTAGACGAAGAAACATGGGACAAAAATAACTATAAAGGTGGTGGCACGCTCATACATCCATCAGTTGTGATGACAGTGGCTCATAAAATATCCGGAATGAACCCAGAAGATGTAAGTATAGTTGTACTAAGAGGGTACGCCATTGACTAAACTGTCGCAAAACTTTAATCTCGCTTTGTTTCCTACGAGCTTATATTATATTTGATTAATAAGATTAGTTTGATAAATAACGCATATGAAGTGTCGAATTCAATTTGTATAAAAGCAAAAGCTTAATAGACAGGTATCGTAGTGACGAAACAAACACGCAGCGAACAATTTTGAACTATCGATATTCGGTTTAAAAAATTATCGAACTCAACTAGATTTATTATTTTACAATTTTTACAAACTAATCTACGTTATTTAGACAAACTGTAGTCAAAGTGCGCTAGCTTAAACCACGAATCTATCGCTTTCAACTTAGATATGTAAGTAATTTTAATTTTTAATCTTCACAGTTAAAAGTCCGTGTTGGTGATTACGACACGAGCTCATTAAACGAACAAAACGACCACCAAGAAATAAATGTTAGGAAAATCGTCATTCATCCGAATTATTTCAGAAGTAAGTATATTTCTATACTTTTTTTTGTGACCGAATGGAAACTGTTTGCCTTGAAGAGGCATTTACAGATTCACCGGGCTTGAGGTGGCTTAGCGCAGATGGCGCTTAGCCTAAACCTCGTTTATGAGTAACTAGGCTCGAGGGCTTCCTCAGGAGCCTCGGCACGAGCCGTTACTTCGTTATCATTACCGGATTGGGAGGCCACCGAGCTCTTAGATCGCGTATCTTTCTATACAAATGGCTTGGATGAAGCCGCACGGGAACAGCTAGTATATAAATATTTTAATACGCCTAGAGTTTCTAATATTTAATATTTGTTACAGCATCATCATACAACAACATCGCCTTGTTGTTCTTGGAGAGACCTGTCGTCATAAATAGTGATTATCCACAAATTGGTGTAGCGTGTTTGCGCAATTCTCTCCCACCTGCCAATACAACTTGCTTCAGTATGGGCTGGGGTGCTGCGAACTTCAACAACAAGAACATATATGCATCTACACTAAAGAAGGTTAGTTATCTATTATAGACGGTAATTATACACGGCTATATAATCTATGTTTATATCTTTACTAATATAATAAAGCGTAAACACATATTTTGTTAAATAGGATTTTTTTTTTATAACATAAGGTGGCAAACGAGCAAGCGGCCACCTGAATCCACCGAAATGGAAAGCGACCGCTGCCCATAAACATCCGCAATTGCAGATGCGTTGCCTACCCTTCATTGATGGAGGACGCACGTAAACAGGACATTTCCCCTTCCTATGCGTCTCCTCCACCGTCAAATCCACTTTTCCTTCCCATCCTTCACTCTTAAGAAAAGGGTGGAAAGGGAAAGGGACTAAAATTAAGCATTCAACAGAATTCACAATTACAATTAAGATGACAGCAATTACAGCATATTTTTGAATTCTCTTCGTAATAAACAAACTGTTGTTCGCGACTTACCCGGCGTGAAAAATAGTAAAAAATAGCCTATGTTGTTGGCTGTACCTTTCTTGTCAGCCGAAGAAGTTGTTTATTGAACTAAAAATGTGGTTCAATTTTAATTTTTTCCCATAAATATGATCTTTATCTTTTACTTGACTAAACATTCTTTACAGATATAAGTGTTTTTTACCAAGAATCTAAATTATTTACCTTTTTTTCGGCAGGTGAAGTTACAATTATTGGATAATACAGTTTGCCATTCGTTGCTACGGAAGACTCGGCTCGGGCCATTCTTCCGGCTGCACCCCTCCCTTGTATGCGCAGGGGGGGAGCAGGGTATCGACACATGCAAGGGCGACGGTGGCTCCCCACTTGTCTGTCGTGATAAGGTTAGTAACACTTACAACGAATAACAACATTAATTTTAAAAAGAGCAAAAATCATATTCCTGTGCGTCCCTTTCTCTGTCAAATCCGCATCCCCTACCCACCTCTCTTTTCTTACTTCTTATATCGATGGATGTTGGTTAGAGTTTGTAGCCTAAACTGCTGTACGGATCTCGATGAAATTTCGTGTTGTAGAGGGTAGTAGGTAGATTTTTAGTTGTGCAACTAAACAGTTGAATCGGCAAACAATCGACAATCGCACAACTGTTGTGCGATTGTTTGTTCAAAAATAAACCTGCTTTTACTATTGTTATTTTGTTCACAGCCCGGTAGCTCCCGTTACATAGTGTACGGTATGGTCGCTTGGGGCCTGGCTTGCGGTGATAAGGACATCCCCGGCGTCTACGTGAATGTGCCTGCACTATACGATTGGATTAACACGCAAGTCTCTGCAGAAGGTTACGATACGAAAGTCTATACGATCACATAGACTGTTACAACCCATCCGAAATAGTAAACCGATCCGATCCGATAGATTCTAGTATAAAATACTTAAATAACATCAGCCCAGTGATAATCGCTGTTCTTTCTTTTCTTGTATATACGAACAGTTTTATCTGACAATCGGATCGTTCATATAAATCTGATATAAGCAGATGTTTAAATAATATATAGACGAGGCAGTGAGCTAAATTTTTTCGCTGGTACTTTCCCTGAAGGGTAGTTTGTTGACAAGTTTAGTGCCACCTTGTTATAATAAACACCATATTTTGTTATAAAATTTTATCAGTGGTAGAGCACGCTATAATATCTTCGCACGAATGCGCCAGCTCGCCCTCAGCAATACCACGATCACACAGAACACAGGCGTCAAGTGGGAGCAATTCCGCGTTTCGTCTGATAAGTGTGGTGCCGGAGGCCTAATAGTCCCTTTCCCTTTCCACCCTTTTCTCCAGCGTAAAGGATGGGAAGGAAAAGTGGATCTGACGGTGGAGGAGACGCATAGGAAGGGGAAATGTCCTCTTTATGTGCGTCTCCTCCTCCGTCAATCAAAAGGTAGGCAACGCATCTACAATTGCGGATGTTTATAGGCAGAGGTCGCTTTCCATTTCGGTGAATTCAGATGGCCGCTTGCTCTTTTGCCACCTTATGTTATAAAAAAAAGTGCTAAATTATACTCCTAATGTAAGGAAATTCTTTCTCTGACTGGGCATCAAATGCAATACGTTAAATAAAAACTCGTTTGTTTCATATTTATTGTTTCATTTAATTACCTTTTGACGGAAACGAATGATAATCCATATCTATACTAATATTGTAAAGAGGAATTTGTTTTTTGTATGTATTTGATTCACACAAAAACTACTGGGTTGATTTTAAAAATGCTTTCACCGTTAGAAAGGTAATTTATCTGTGAGTAACATGGGATATATTTTCTACTAGCTGTCCCCATGCGGCTTCATCCGCATGAAATTATGACAATTTTCTTTTGTTGTTTTAAATTTTCAAATTATCAATAGCAAATTTCAAAATGTCATGACAAACCTTTGCAATCTTTCTTTCTTGATGTTGACAGCAACTTATGGTTTCTTTAACCTTAAACTATTTACCCCCTAAGTTTAATGGCGTGAAAATATATAGCCTAAAGCGTGACATAAGCGTAGAGCTTTTTATTACAAAAATATTCAAAAATATGCTGTAATTGCTGACATCTTAGGCAACAAAGAAGTGTGTATTTACGCTTAATTATAATAGTATAGATTGATTTTTAATATCACGCAGACGAAGTCACAGGCAACAGCTAGTGTAAAATAAAAAAGATAGTTAATGAAAAAATAACTACAAACTAATGTATAACCGAAGAGGTTATCAATTAAAAATGAGTAAAATCGTTTTAATAACTTTTCTTAATAAAGGCGCCTCTTTCCCCTTCCATAGACAATCGAAAAATACACAGTGAACAGTGAATAGAGGAAAGAAAGATGTGAACACTCCGCTACAGACTGCTGAGGTGAACGGACGTGTCCACTCACC